CCTTGCCTTTTCTTTTCTAGCCATATTGAACTTGTTTCATTTCCCTGAAGTCGGTGTCATCTTTGCACGTGTTTTCCCCTCTGTAAAGAATACTACCCTTTTTCTAGCCAAATCCAGTATCAAGGGCTATACTTAAAGTACTTTGTTTGTTGTTGTTAACCCTCAGCTGAGGATATTTTTCCCATTGGATTTTAGAGAGTGGAAAGGAGGGGGTGGGGGGGGAGAGAGACACACACACACACACACTCTCTCTCTCTCTTTCTCTCTCTCTGATTGGTGGCCTCCTGCACATGCCCTGACCGGGCCAAGGAGTGAACCTGCAATCCAGGTATGTGCCCTTGACCAGGAATCGAACCCGAGGTCCTTCTGTGTGTGGGCTCTGTCCACTGAGCCACACCAGCCAGGGCTTAAAGTGCTTGTCCTACGAGAAGCATTGCTAGACCTCACTAGACTTTGTATCCACGTAGTATATTGTACTTCTCCTATTGGAACTGAGTACATATTATATAAATGTGTGCTTAATTCATTGTCTTTCTCACTAGTTGTAAGCTTTCTGAAGGTAGGAACTATGTCTAACTTGTATACCGCTGTTTTACCATTCCTAGCATGGTGTTTGGCACATGCAAAGTGCTCAGTGAAAATCTGATGAATTGATAAGGTTAGGGAAACCAAGAGAAGATTTGATAAAAAGATTATTGCAATATAATCTTGAGGTTGATAAAAACAGATGGAACATAGTAAACCCCAGCCTTAGAAATGTATTCTGTGTTTATTGGAAGGGAAGGGATACACATAATAGTGATGACACGATATAATAGTTTCCACAGGTTTTGGACCTGTGTGCTGGGTTTAGGAAATATACACTCAGCTATGCCCAGCCCATGGAAGTTAAATTAGTCACTTAAAGCTTTTTATTTTCAAATTTTCAGTTTATTCCACATCTCTGGGAGACCAAGAGTCAACAGCTCTTGAGTAGTTAAATGAGAAAAGATTTTAAGATTTACATAAATGAATTTTCATAAAAATTGCATTGAAACTTTAGGGGAAACAGATCCTCGAACATTTTCAAGTAGCAAAAGATTTTGAATAAGAAACCACACTGCACAATCCCCTTGCATTAAAAGAACTATAAAATGCTGACAGCTGACTACTGTCCCCAGCCACAGTGGTCCCATTCTGCATTGCTTGTTCTACCACTGTGCTTCTTAGGAGCACATTGATTCTCGTGGTTTGGGAAAGAAGGCTCTATTTTGGTCATTTAGATAAGACATTTACCATTTTTAGAAATACTGTGAATGTAGTCTTTATTTCTTCCTAATCCAGAGAGTTGCAGTTTTAAGAGCCCTGCTAATTAGTTAATAACTTTCTGCCTTCTGATGAGGCCCGAGAGAAATCAGAGAAAGACACATACCTTATGACCTTGCTTACATGTGGAATCTAAAAAAGAAATAAAGCTCATAGATACAGAGGACAGATGGTAGCTGCCAGGGGAGGGGTGGCAGCTGGGGGACGAGTGAATTGTTTTTGTTTTGTATTTTTAGTTTAAATAAATTTAATTAAAATTTTTTTAATGATTTCTGCATCTCTAGGTTATGGGATTTGTTTTCCAGGAGATAATTGGAAGTTGGTTTAAGATCTATGTTATGTCTGTAGGGTTTTATACACACACTATCATTACCACCCTGTACATTTAAAGAAGATATAATGTGGAAAACTGTTTTTTCAGCTTGTCTAATTTTGTTTTCTTTCTTCTGAGTCCATTTGGAAGTTTTCTTGGCCTGGAGGCAGAATTGAATAGTGGGTATGAATTTCAAGGTTACAGCTAAGCTAACTTGTCAACAGAAGGCAGTCACCAGGCCAACCGGTCTTAATCTTATTCCATGCGTCTGTGCCCTGAGGCAGAACTTTTCATTCATAATTTAGAGGAATTGACTAGTTAGAGATTCAAACTTGCAGGTATCTTAGAAATTTGAAAAGATATCAGAGGATGAATTTAGCAATCCGTTGAGTGTTGGAAATACTTCGAGGTATTGGCCAGTTTTTGGCTATTGGTTGTAAAGCTTGTCCAAGGCTTCCCCGAACTGAGTGCTACCTGAGATTCTTGTCATCTGAGTCAGTTGGTTGTCAGCTTTGTCTCTATACAGATGTTAAAACAACCTATGAATCTGTGGAAAATAGATACATAAATAAATAGATACCTAGAGAAATGGTTTGGCGAGGGGGGTGTAATGTTACTCCCCTCAAGGGACATTTGGCAATGTCTAGAGACATTTTGATTATAATAGCTGTAGTGGATAAAGGCAGGGATGCTGCTAAACATCTTATAAATAATGCACAAAAATGTCAATAGTGATGCTGTTGAGAAGCCCTGATTTGATTGATAGAGAGTTATTAATATGTATAAAACATGTGTGTGTATATAAATCTTAGTGGGGGGAATTTTTCTCGGAGTATAAAATTATTTAAGGAAACAATTCATTTTGATCATTCTTAGGCCTGTCAGCATATATTTGATACGGTGGTTTTGGCCATGTCACACACAAATCCTTTCAAAGCCACCGCAGCCAAAGCCAGGAAGCTCACCCATTCCTCAAAGCTGTTCTGTGGAAGTGGAGCTGTGCCAGTCAGAGGCATGCTTCACAGGCTTAGGGTACCACCCACTGAAAGAACCTTGAGACAATTGAGCATCCTTGATACAAGAGCTTTTCTGTAACATTTTACCTATGCCCCTCCCAGTATTGAAGTACTCCTGACATTGTATGAAAGGGTAAGTCTTTACCTCCACCCTCTCTAGCTAATCTTCCTAAATACTTGTATGAACTGCAAATTGGGAAGACAAAAGATGTAAGAGGTAGCATGGGTGTGGAATTGCACCTGAATTTCAGAATTATTTGCTTTGTGCATATTTAAATGATTTGCACCAAATGATAACTTTTTGTCATTTTTTTTTTCTTTTAGTTTTTTTTTTTCTTTTATTCTCACCCGAGGACACTTTTTGCATTTATTCTCAGATGGAGCAGGAGGGAGAGAAAGAAAAGGAAAGAGAGACACACATCAACTGGTTGCCACCCACACGACCCCACACCGAAGTACATGCCCTTAGCGGGAACCGAACCCGGGACTCTGGTCCACAGACCGATGCTTCAACCACTAAGCCAAACTGGCCAGGGTCATTTTTTTTTAATTCTTACTCGAGGACACTTTTCCATTTAACTTCAGATAGAGTGGGAGGGAAGGAGAGAGAGAGAGAGAGAGAGAGAGAGAGAGAGAGAGAGAGAGAGAGAGAGGTGAGAGAGACACATCGACTGGTTGCCTCCTGCATGACCAGGGCCAGGGACTGAACTGCAGCCGAGGCACGTGCCCCTTACTGGGATTGAACCTGTGACTATTTGGTCCGTGGGCCAACGTGCTAACTGCTGAACCAAACTGGCCAGGGCTTAAGTAATCTTTTAAATACTTGGTTATAGGTAAGAAGATATAATGAGCTTTATTTGATAAATAATCTAAGAAGGAACAACATGGTGCAGACACATGACCACAAGTTAATATAGTATAACTTTTTTTTTTATCCTCACCTGAGGACATTTTTTCCATTTTTTTGTTCAGATAGAGTGGGAGGGAGGGAGAGAGAGAGAAGCATCACGTGAAAGGGACACATCGAGTGGCTGCCACCTGCACAACCCAACCGGGGCTGGGGATAAATGCTCTTAGCAGGAACCGAACCCGGGTCTCTCTGGACCACAGGCCAACGCTCTAACCACCGAGCCAAACCGGCCAGGGCAATATAGTATAACTTGAAGACCTTAAAGTTGTTTTGAAAACATACTTTTTAAGCTCAGTTGTTTTTCTGTGTTCCAAATAGTGATGTTGCTACAAAGGATCAAGGTAACTTCTATCTAAAAGGATGGTAATGAACTTCTGCTTCATACTTATACCCTTTAAGATTGATTTGGCTTCATATAACCAAAACAAACAAACTCAAAAAACCCACCATCAGTAGAACTCAAAAGACTTAAATGAGCTGGAAGTTTATTTCTCTGGTGAAAGCAGTCCAGAGCAGGCAGTCCAGGGCTGCTGGTATAACTGTTCGACAAACATCCGTGCCGAGCCTCCCTCCTTCATATTCTGCCAGCCTTGGTGTGAGGTCTTTTCATCCGAGATGGGTGCTTGAGCTCATATTCACTGATAAACTCTGACCTGGCCGGTTGGCTGCCAACACAGATGCAGACCTGACTGGATGACGGAGTCCTAGCTTGAGCGTGTAAATTATGTAGTAAAGGCAAGCGAGCCCTACAGTCCTGAGGTAGCAGCTCATAGATGCAGCACAGCACCTCTCTCCAGGCCAGATATTACCTGCCAGTTAGTAATATTCACTTAGTTTGCCTATGTGGGTCAGACAGTTCAGTACCAGGTAATTTGATGAAAAGACCTGACCCTATTTCTCTTGCCCTGAACCCCTTGGATTCTGCTGGGTGGGATTTCCTGTTTTATAATAAAATTTATTCACTTAGCTTTTGATCTTTGATCTTGTAGTGTTTTTCTCTAGCATTGCTGTGTATACTTTGCAGCCAGCAAGAAGGGGGATGGGAAGATCACTCTTCTCTTTTAAGGACACTGTTCAGAAGTCACACTACACTTCCACTTATATCTCATTGGCTAGAATTTAGCCACATGGTTGTTAATTTCAAGGGAAATAGTTTTTTGTATGGGAGACAATGGACTCAGAAAAAAACAAACAAACAAACAAACAAAAAACCTGGAGTTCTTGTTACTAAGGAATGAGAGACAACTGGCAGACTTTAAAATAATACCCAAAATATTAACTTATGAAAATATTAAGGAAAAGGACTATATAACCTCCTTAAAGTGCTCAGATTATAAAAATAAGGTATTATTTTGTAGCAGTTTATTACTAGTTAGATGCTGTTTTTCCTTTGGTTTTATTCCTCCCACCCCCTTGTTTCCAAAAGCAAAACTAATTTTATTTTTTCGTCTTATAGGACTTTCCGTGACATTTCTGAAGATCTGAAATCTTCAGTAGACTGACATGGCTTCCACTTCAGTGATTTCTCTAGGAAGTTCAGCCTCGACCGTGAGTCCAGCCCAGCGGTGGCCCCTGTCCTGTCAGCTGTGCCGAGCACGCGGAGCCGGGGAAAGCGGCAGGAGTCTCCTGGCTTCGGCACAGAATGCGGGGACAAGAGCGAACTTGCTGCGGGCTGCTTGCATTGTAAAGCACAGCTTTAGAGCTCTGAAATGTGATTTGCTCACCTGTTGCTAAGATGGCTTGAAAAGTTTCAGTTTATACACTGGTACCATGGCTCGAAATGTACCCCCTTTGCTTATCTATATTATTATAATATGTATTTATAAAGTTATTTTTCAGAGTCCTAATCTACCTACTATTTAAAGTGAATACAATGTAATTTTTCTCCTGTTTTATGAAAACTGTTCATAAACTTTTCTATGACAGTCACTATTCAATGAAAAGGGCTTTCACTTTTGAGTACCTAGTTGCCCGAGCAGGAAAAAGGAGTCTTCTTACCCTTCCCCCACACCATATGGTCCTCTCTAAGAAAACCAGTCTTTCTTGTACAGGTGGGTGGGATGGCTCATATCAGTTAGTTTTGTATTGCAACCATAGGAGAAGCAGACAGACTGAAGACCTTACTCCCCTTTCTTATTCCTCAATCCCTAGTTACACTGTTGCCAAATTTCTACAAACTTGGTAGAGGACCACATTGAAGTGAAACACATGTAAGCTGCTATTAATGGTAACAGTATGATAGAATTCATGTTGCAATTGTTTTTCTTTCCAAATGTTTTAAGTGAAAAACCTTAGGTGCAGCAGTACTCTGATTTGTTAAATGTATCCCAGTTTCACCATTCGGAATTCTGCCACTTAGTTACCTATAGACCAGAATTTTATATTTATGTAATATTTTTCTGTCACCTAGCACAGTGCCTTGCATAAGACTCTAGGTAAATGCTTATTGAATTAAATTGTGACTTTTAAAATTTATCAGCTATCACAATAACCAACATAGTGCTTAACATTTTACAAAGTCTCTGCGTCTAATTATTTCACAGTGACTTCACATAACCATTCATATAGCTTTATGTTGTTTTACAACAGTTTCACACAAATGGGGAAGCTAAGGTTCAGAAAAGTGACTAACATTCATCAAGTTCAGTCAAATCTGACTCCGTAAGCCTGCAAATGCTGCTATACTGGAGTGTTTCTTCTGTTGTCTTACAGTGAGATAGTAGGTGTCCTTGGACTTGTCCTACAGTTAATGAGGCCTGGAACTAGAATCCAGCTCTTAACTTTGTACCCTTTCCACTGTATAAAACAATGTCAGGCTTTCTCTCTGTCCCCAGGGGAATACTGAGGAGAAAGATTTCTTAAGTGTCAGCGATCACCTTTTTGGAAAACACTTAAAAGTAGACATCACTTTCTCTAAAACACTTTCTCACTAAGAGGCATAGTTGGTGATAATTAAATGTATTCTGATATTAGGAAAAACTCCCATTGGAAGAGAGGCTGCCATGAGGTCTTTGTTACACAGTAGACTAAGTCCAGATCTCTTATTTTTACCATGAATCCTTCAACAATTATAATTTGATGGAACACCAACTGTTACATTAGGCCACTAAGTAACTTACTGTTTTCTTTGTTAGTTGTTTAATCATTTATTCAGTAAAACATTTGCTGCGAGTTTGCCAATCTCTAGGTTCCATGCCAGGCGCTGTACAGGGTGCTGTAGGGGATAACTCATAAGAAGGCCTTCTCTCACATTAAATCTTAGCCCGAGCATATGTATTACTAAAATAAAAAATTTAACATTAAAGGGGTTAAAAAAGAAACCAGGTTTGTTTTTGTTAATAGTATATTGATAAGTTTATAGCTGTAATTAGCACATATTCACAAGAGGTAAATATTATACACGATGAGTTAGGGTGCATATACAGATTATGTTCTTTCAAAGTGCTTTTAGCTGTACAAACTGATACTGCAAAAAACTAAACTTGAGCTAATGTGTGGCTGTAGCTGGTCATAATTATTCATATGAATACCCGGTTCTTGGAGGGGGGAACTCTGAGCTCTAAGACAGTAGGTTAGAGCTGCCAAAATGAGCAGTGATGTTATACCACCCTGGAGTATCAGGAACACAGGTGCCCCACAGTGCTACACAGGCCTGATGAGGAAACTTGAGGTGCCTCAGCACTCCAGCAACTGCGTAAGGACTGTGAAGGCGGACCCTCTAGGGGAGGGCCTCCCGGAACCCTCGGAAACAGAAACACGCCCCTAAGATATAGTGAGGCTTTGCAGAATTTTCACAGGGCAAAGAGGTCAGGTGGCCCTGGCCAGTTTGGCGCAGCGGTTAGAGTGTCGGCCTGCGGTCCGGAGAGACCCGGGTTCGGTTCCCGCTAAGGGCACGTACTTCGGTTGCAGTTTGTCCCCGGCCCTGGTTGGTCGTGCGGGTGGCAGCCACTCGATGTGTCCCTTCACGTCGATGTTTCTCACTCTGTCTCCCTTCCTCTCTCTCCCTCCCACTCTATCTGTACAAAAAATGGAAAAATATCCTTGGGTGAGGATAAAAAAAAAAAGTAAAAAAAAAAAGAGGTCAAGTGGTATGAAAAGGTCGGAGTCTCAAGCTCAAGTCTCAGAGATGACCAACCCTCAGATTTTCAGTTAGGATTTGACCTAGAAATAGGGAGACAATGCATTGATGAAGTAGAAGTAGCTTCAGTAAAAACTGAGTATAGAAATCCTATCACAATATCTCACATTTTACAGCTTTATTCAAGATTCGTTTTAAGTTTACACTCACTGTTGAGCTGTAAGCTGAGTGGAGGAGATAAACGTGCTCTCTTTCTCAGAGAGAACAGCCGTGATAATCAACATAAACTCCAGATCATGTAAACCTTGCTCCAGTTCCAAAATTCTTGTCACACTCTCTGTTCCTGGAAGTGATCTCTGTCAGACTGCCTTAGATACCAGTCTTATTTATTTTTACATTTGCAAGGAATCCTAACATCCTCTTCCATTAGCAGTGGTTAGCTGGCAGAGTGTTCCCTTGACCTCTGAGACTGGTGTAGACCGACTGGGGACAGTACAGTAGGAGGATACCAGAGAACTGTTATGGAGATGCTGTATTTAAACAAAGTCAGCTCTTTGTTCCAGTTAAAAAATGCTGCACAAGGGCTTGCAAATAAGTTCCCTCGCTAACCTTGGTCTTAACATGAACCCATCCTGGCCCTTTAGGACTTCCTAGTACCGCTAGTTCTAACTTTCGTTGTAGTGAGTGCTTCAGAATATGTCACTGCTGGGCAAGAAATAACTCAGAAATTCAGGTCATAAGGGTTAGATTAGAGCAAAGTAATTTCAGGTGAGCTACCCAGAGCTTTCAACCTCAGGTTTATAGGAAAAACCCCTTCAGAACTTCCCATGCTCTGGTCCTGGCCCATGGCATCCTCTAAGGGTCTTCCAAGACAGTACACATTTCACAGTGGAAATAGCCTCTGACGGCAAACTTCCAAATGCTGGTTCCAGCTAAGAACAAGGACTTTTGTTTTTATTAACTTGTTTCCTTTACTTATTTTTTCCATCAAAATGTATTCATTTTATTAACTTACCAAGGACCTGCAAAAAATGTGCATACTACCTGAAACCACTGAGCAGTTCTTTTTGATAGACTTGATTTACAGTTCTCTTATTTTTAAACCGTCTCCTAGTGTCATAGACATTCTGTGCTAGATAAAACCTTATATATTACGTGGTTCTGTCCTTTTATAGAGAAGGAAACAAATCCGTAGGTCTAAGTGGCTTTTCTAATAGAGCCAGTTAGTGACGATTTCAGAGTAGGGTGCAGTTCTTCTCAGTCCGCTGTTCTGCTTCTCTGCCCTTTTCCTCAGAGCTGAATACCTTTTGGAAAAATGTGTTTCTTACAGCAGTAGTTAAAGGGATGTTATTAGATGGTATAAGAGGATAAAGTATATATGGGGGTTAGATGGTATAAGAGGATAAAGTATAGATAGGGGGAGGGGACTCCAGGGTCAGTTAAAATTGAGAAATGCTGGGTTGGTTTTCTTTCTGTACGACTTCTAAGAGTTTTTAATGTGCTATTAAATAGTGTGAATTTATAATAGGGGACAAAGACTGTGTATACTTAGACTTATTTGACCTTCAACTGCACCCCCAACCTCCTTTTCTCAGAGCATCTCAAAGTACTACTAGTCCTTTGGATAACACGGCTCTGCAGTACGTTTACAACTCTTGTAGAAGACATCCTTCATGGAAATTCTGAAAGGTAATCTGTTACCATGGTACCCTGTAATTGTAAGGAATCTCAAAGTTTACAGATATACTAGAAAGAAAACATATCTGCCCTTCAGAGCTATATGTAAAGTATAGTCTTTCCACCTATGGTGTGTAAAATCAGTATTTGTGTTTAGATTTGAAAGTTTTTCAAGGATCACTTAATGTGTAAATATAATGGGATATATTGACATTTTAATAATGCTTTTGTATAGCACTTTATAGTTTTCAGATTGCTCTCATAACAACCCTGTGAGATAGGCAGGTGTTAAGAATTACCAGATGAGGCACTGGAGGCTCAGAAAGGTTTTGGTGATTCCCCCCTCTCCGTAAGTTTATACCACAAAATAATGAAACCAGAATTCAGTTTCAGAATTTCTGACTCCCACGTTCAGTGTTATTCACACCTGATTTTTAAATTTTTCTTCTAGCTTTATAGTTTACCGTGAAAGGTGTGGAAGCAATTCTTAAACTATGTAGCATTATCTTGGCTTATTATCAAACACTGTTTCTTCTTTACTGTGGTGAATAAGAAAATGTAACTCCTTTTATAGCTGTCCCAAAGAAAACCTCCTTTTGCCCCTTGCGCTGCCATTTGTTGAGGTGACTGGAGTGTATTACAAATACCATTTGATTTTGAAACCAAGATTGGATATATAATTGTGATTGCTTATGTAATTTTGGAAAATGTGCCATCTCTGCACTCTCAGACAAAGCAGAGATGGAGGGAAAGTAAAAAAGAATATTCAAATACTGCAGGACACCATTATTCTCACAGATGCTGTTTCTTAGCTTTAACTTGCTTTGACAACCTACTGATGTAACTTCTTTGTAAATGTAAAATATTTATATTTTGAAATAAAATTACTAGTGTTGAATGAATCAGGTGGTACACAGTCTCATTTCTGTTGAGAAATTTGGTCTTTAGTGAAGTCAGACTTTCACAAATACATCCGTCTCTTAGGTCTTATATAGATTCCTTTGGCACCAGTGCTTACACGGATTTTTTATGAAATATGGACAACTTGCATAAAGGAAGATCTGTCTGGGGAGTGGACGCTGGGCACCTTGAAGAGGTGCAAGAGTCCAAGGTTGAGGTTGGAGCCCTCCACACACAGGATATAGTGGCCTTAAGATGAATAGATAAGGATATAGTGAGGTGGGTGGCTGGGCAGTAAGATATCAGAGGGGGGAAAAGTGGTCTGAAGGAACTGTACATTTTGAATGAACAAAATAAGCCTAAGTTATGATTGTAGTCAATACCAGAGATGCCGGTGTGGCACTGGCGGATGGAGCTGAACCCGCAGTGGAAGTACTGTGAAACATGTTTCCGTGATGCCTGGGAAGGAGCTTGCTGACCCCTCTAGTGGATGGTCTCCAGCTCATCAACCTGACACTATGGCGAAATGATCCTGGCCAAAGGGTGGATGGACTAGCCAGCCACACAATATTTTCTGCTCTGGTTTCTCATGGGCAGATGATACTAGTTCACCACATATTTCTTCATGCTTCTCAGTCTATTGCTTACAGACCCCTTCAGAGGGAGTGTGTTTCAGACAGCCTCCTTTTGGCTTTGCCCTGGAATGCAGGTAGGGGATGTTCAGCTCTCACACGGGGCCTCTGTGCTTCTTTGCCTTACCCTAAGTGAGTCAGCAGTAAACACTAACGAGCTTTTTAGTCAATGAACAGCTGTTAAGAAACGATTCTGTGCTAGCACTCGGGAAAAGTAATTTTGAAAAGTAGTTTGAAAAAGAATATTGAACAGTAGGTGAAGCTATTCCATATGCTCTACTTAATTTCCTTTCAAGAGTAATTCTGAACAGTAGCCTGAAAGATACCCAAGCCACTGCCTTCTCGCCTAGTACCTAGATACTCCTTAATTGCATAATCAACTGTTTCATCTTCAGTCCAGCCCCAAGTATTGTGAGAAAGATACAGTCGAAAAAGGAGCAGCGTTGGGGTGGAGGGGTGGGAGTGGGACCTCAGAAGCGCTGTTACTGGTGGAATTCCAGTCCCTACAGACTTGTCTCTGGTTCTGCTCTACTACTTAGTTTCAACCCCAGCGCAGCTTCTAGAAATTGTGACTGAAAGGGAGTTATGGCGAGTCATCTATCCTGAAGACGGGAAGCTTTGCTGGGGACGGTTGTCCTTGTGGTAGGAGGCCACGTGGCGGCGGGAGGCCCTCAGATGTCTTGTTCATTCCAGTGGGGCGAGACGTGCGTGGAATCCACGGAAGGGTGGTCTCAGCAGAGAGACAGGGCGGGGCCAGGAGGCGGGGCCGTGCCAGGGCGAGGCCCGGGTTAGGGGTGGGGCGGCAGGGCCGACCCTGGACAAATGCGCGTGGGAGCGAGGCAGAGGCGGGGCTGTTCCGGGGGCGGGGCTCGGCGGGGGCGGAGCAGGCCGGGGCGGGGCCGCCCGGGGGCGGGCCCGATCGGGGCGGGGCCTCGGGCGGCGCGGGTGCATTGCCGCCGCCGCGGGCGGGCTGGCTGGCAGGCGGCGGGCCCGCAGTGGCGCGGTGTCCCGGCTGCGCGACGGGCGGATGGCCATGGCCGCCTCTCCGGGCCCCGCGGGCATTGGCGGCGCCGGGGCAGTGCAAGGCTCCGGCCCGTCCGGCTTCGGCTTCGACTCAGGACTCGAGATCAAAACTCGCTCGGTGGAGCAGACGCTGCTGCCGCTGGTTTCTCAGGTGAAGTGGCTCCCCGCGCGGCCCCTCGTCTCCAGCCGCGGCCCGCGATGGCGGCAGCGCTCGCTCTGCGGGGTCGGGCCGGAGGCGGCCGCTGCCCCACATTCCGCACCCGCATTACGGCGTGGGTGTCGGACCGCCTGTCTGGGTGGGGGACGCGCTCGGCGGAGGCGGCGGGAGCCGGGACCCTCCGAGTTCGGTAGCGAGGCCGAGTGGGCTGAAGTGCAGGGGACGCTGCGGGGCGCGGAGCCCGGTGCGGACCTGAGTGCCCCGCTAGCAGGTGCGCCGCCCGGCCTGTCCCACAGGACCCGCCTCGTGGCTGCGGATAGGGCGATCCCGGCCCAGCGAGGCCCCCTCCCAGGGTGAGCGGCTGAGCCCAGCTCCCTGGAGGCAGAGAGGACCCCCGCGGGGGCCCCGCTGGCACTTAGGGGCCCTCCTAGTCCGCCCTTGAACCCACTGCCGGCTCACGTTTGCATCCCCAGCCCAAACCCGGACTGGTGGCCACTCTGGCTGGGGCATTCCTACCCGCCTCCAAGTCCAGCGTGCTCTCCCCGAGGCCTTTGTCCCTTTCCCCTGCCTGTGTGTGTCGGCTCGCCAGGCCCCCATTCACCCCGGGCCACCCTGCCTCTTCCCCTTAACCTGCCCCCTCACTCCAGTTGGCTTTTGTCCGGCCTCGGAAGAGTGAAGTGAAGGACTGTCTGATAGTTAATTTGGATACACATCTTTTTGCCAAATCCCATTTGGGATTTATGCTTTATTGGATTTGCTGGTCCTAACAGAAGTCTGGAATCAGCTAATTGACGCGCTTAGTTTTGGAGAAGTTTTTGTTACCGTGAGACGACTTATAGGCTGCCCGAGGGCTCGAATTCCTCACCTAGACCTGTTGTCCTGTGCCAAGCAAGGGTGTGTGTGTGTGTGTGTGTGTGTGTGGAATTCTGTGCCTTAGGCAGCGCGTTGGTGTGTGTGACTCACAACTAGATTGCAACCTCTTGATGACTCACTAGTATTGCCAAAATTTTAGAGGTAGAAGGAATATTAAAGATTATCTGACTCTAAAAAAAAAAATTATTTTTAAATGCTTTTTTACAGCATCCTTGACACCTGGTCTCCGGTCCCTTACTCAAAGGTGGAGCCCAGAGCTGGTCCGTAGAATTTTAAATGCTATCTCTTCTCCATCTCATCCCTGCAAATACAGGAGTCAGTTATGTCTCTAGATTCCTGTTAGGCTGATTAGATGAACAGCTCCATTTTGTTCACTTGTGCTTATTTTAGCCTGCTAACAGAACAGGGAATGAATACACCTGAGAAGCCCCCTCCCCCACCCCTTCTATGTGGGCGGGAAGCACTGACTAGTGGAAAGGAGTGTCTGCACTGTCCCCCTCCCCCAAAAGAACACCACCACCACCTCCACCAATACAACCACAGCCCCACATGAGAAATACTGGATTAGTTTTAAGAGACACAGAGATAAGAGAGTGGTGGAGTTCAAGTTGACAGTATATTATTCATTTAATTAGCATTGGCTACACCATCGGCCATGTTCTAAGCACTTTATAAATATTAACTCACTCTCATAACAATCCTATGAGGTAGATAGATATTTATTCTCATTATATGGATGAGGGAACTGAAACATAGTGAAGTTAAGTAACTTGTCATGGGACTGAACTACAAATGTCATACTGGGATTTGAACCAAGCTCCAGAGTCTATGCTCTTAGCTACACTATGTGCTGTGTCCTTTCTAGAAATTAGAAACGGTGATAAGGTCAGCGAGCAGTAGGTACAAAGAGTCTACAACATAAAAATAAGCGGAAAGGTTGTTGTAATCTGAAGAAATGGTAGCTTTTCATAGTATCACTGCTAAAAATGTATCAGTCCTACAGCTCTGCATTGTGTAATTCTGGGGTAAAAGAGGGTAGAGAGGGTAGGAGAGTGGAGGAGGAATGTATGAATCTCTGCTGAGAGTTAACTAGAGGTCATTGCCAAAGAGGGAAATGCTAGTTATTTTCCTTCCCTGTTAAAGATTCATTCAGGCCCATAGCTGAGGTTCTGCTTCCCACACGTTATATATCCACAACAGTACCTTTAGCACAATACCATAATTGATGATCCTAATGATTGACTGTACTCAACAATAAAAAATTAAATTATGCTTAAAAAAAACCCTTTATAAAACATGGCTGGAATAGTGTTAACAAAGCAGGAAAATGTAGAGTACAATTAAGAGTGATTTTTAAGTTTCAGTGAATGTTAGTAGATTAAAACTGCAGCTCTCTAGAAAACTCACATCCAGGAGTTTCCTTTTCTAAGGATGCTGCATTATTATCCAACTCATGTTTCATCATCTTATCCAAAAAAGTCTTTTAAGATTTTAAGAAAGCCTTTGTTGTGTGCTTACTAGTTGCTGTTCTTTGAGGCTCTTGTATTCTAGTTGGGAGACAGAATATGTAAAGAATGGCACATGCTACGTGTCAAATGAACATTATCAATAGTAAATGCTTTAAGAGCTTGAGAAGGCATGGATGGGTTAGAAACGATATCCAGAGAGGAGACAGAGTCTTGAGGTGAACAAACAGGACTAGCATTGTACAGTTTAGTGAGTTTTTACTCTGATACTATCTAACCTCTCTGACTCTCCAAGTAAAAAATTCTGGGTTACTGGCCTTATTCTAGGAATGCAAGGTTGAGTCAATATTAGACAACTGTATGCAATTTTCTGCATTCACTATTAGAAAAGATATATTTTCTTATCATTAGATGCAGAAAAGGCATTCAATTAAATTCAATTTCTAATCATGATAAAAAGCACTTAACAAGGTAGTAACGGAACCAAACTTTCTTTATTTGATAAAGTGTATTTGCAGAAAACCTACAGTTAACATCATAGCAACAAGTCAAAAATATACATATTTTTAATACGTTTTTTATTGATTTTTTTTTTTTTTTTAAGAGAGAGAATGAGAGAGGGAGAGAGAGCAGTAGAAACATCAATGAGAGAAAAACATCCATTGGCTGCCTCCTGCTCAATGGGGATCGAGCCCACAAGCTGGGCATGTGCCCTGACCTGGAATTGAACTGGTGACCTCTTGGTGCATGGGATGATGCTCAACCACTGAGCCACACCAGCCAAGCCAAAAAAAAAAAATATATATATATATAGTATATAAATATATAATATTTATATATTATAAGCTTAAAAGAACACTGCCATATATAATAATTAATAAAAAGTATTTTTTAATCCTCACCCAAGGATATGTTTTTATTGATTAGAGAGAGACATTCATCGGTTGCCTCCCATAAGCGCCCTGACCGGGGATCGAACTCACAACCTAGGTGTGTGCCCTGAGTGGGAATAGAACCTGTAACCTTTTGGTATACAGGATGGTGCTCCAACCAACTCAGCCACATTGGCCACAGAGCTCAGCAGGATTTTTAAAGATATAATTTGATCAAAGTAATTCTAAAATTTATATGAAAGAGTAAAAAGCTAAGAATAACCAGAAGAGAAGCAAGGTGGGTGGACTTAGCTCTACCAGATTTCAAAACGTATTATAAATCTATAGCAAATTGAGACAGTGTGGGTATAAGAACAGAGATGGACAAATAGACTAGTGAAACAGAATAGAGAACCTGGAAACCGATCCACACGTATATGGAAACTTGATAAATCACAGAATTGGCATTGCTGGTCGGTGGGAAAAGGAAGAAATTTTTTAAAAAAATGGGTCTGGGACAAATGGTTATCCAAATAGAAACACATGAAACTGGATTCATAACCCTAAGAGAAACTCCTGGGTGTGTTAGAGACATGGATTGGAATTTTTGTTGTTGTTTTGTTTTTCACTTCTAATGGCCCCAAACTAGAAATGACCCAAATGTCTGTTAACAGTAGGATGTTTAAATAAATTGTGCTATGTTCATACAATGAGATACTATACAGCAGTGAAATGAATGAACCATGGCTATAATTATCAATATGGATAAATCTCAAAAGCGTAGTGCTGAAAGAAAAAAAATTTAAAGTTCAAAGCCTTTGTATGTCAGTAAAATTTCATGATTAAAAAAAAAATTTCTTTTTTGTTTAAGATGAATGACAGTAAAATTTAAGGCAAAATTTTAAAATATACCTCTTCAGAAAAAAATAAAAATAAAAGTCCAAAGTCTAGCAAAACAAAACTATATCATTTAGGGATATAACATATATGCAGTAGTTATAATAAGGGAGCAAAGAGCACAAAGTCGGGACAGTGACTTTGTTCTGGGGAGAGGGAGGGGGGATGTAGAAAGGGACCCATGGGGCACATGGGTTGCAGAGGTACTGGCAGTGTTCTCTTAAGCTCGGTGGTGGTTGCCTATGTCTTCCCTTCAGTTCTTTAGGCTATACTTGTATATGTTATATACACTCACTTGTTATATATTTTCTAACTCAGACAATTTTTTAAGAAGCTCTGGGCTAAGTCCCAAACATATTTTCTGCAGAACAACTCCCCACCTTCTTTAATAATTACTTTATTCTTCCTGTCAGAACTCCCACTCCCAGTCTTAAAATGTTTTTACGCAAGGAGGGGAAGAGGGGAGACCTGCCACACAGCTCCACCCTAGTGTGGAATGTTATTCTACCACCCACTAGTCTTTTCCTGTCTGTGAGAGATTTACTTGATTCACCATTGTGCAGACCCTTTACATTTCTGAGTGGCTCACCCTGTCTTCCCATTTCTCTCTGCAGTGTCCTGGCAGCTTTTCAGGGTCCCTGTCCAACTAAGGTGGAGAGAAACAGGCTCCATAGGGGTCCTTCTTTGTGATTTGTGTATGTGAATATACGAGTGTTTGTAATTGCAAAGATCAAACACACAAAATTCAAACACTACAATGGAGTGTAAAGTAAGTGAAAATGCTCTTTTTTCTGCCTCTTAGAGCATCTCCCGTGATTTGGTGTGTTGTCTTTCATATTGTTACTATAACTGATTTTTATTTATCTTATTTATTTAGTTTTCAATCCTCACCCGAGGATATTTTTCAATTTATCTTTAGACAGAGTAGGTGGGAGGGAGAGAGGGAGTAAGAGAGGGAGAGAAACATGAAGTGTCTCATCGACTGGTTGCCTCCCGCCAGACCCCCACCAGGGCTGGGGATGAACCAAAACAGAGGTAAGTGCCCTTGGCTGGGTCTCATTGGGTCCATGGGCCAATGCTCTAGCCACTGAACCAAACCTGCCAGGGCGATTTTTATTTATTTTGTTTTGTTGTTGTTAATACTCTCGAGGATATATATATTTTTTTCCATTGATATTTTTAGATAGAGTGGAAGGGAGGGAGAAAGAGGGAGAGAAAAACATCGGCGTGAGAGAGACACATTGATTGGCTGCCTCCTGCACGACCCTGACCAGGGTCAGGGATCAAACCTGTAACCCAGGTACCTGCCCTTGATCAGGAATCCGACACTTTAACCACTGAACCAAGCTGGCCAAGGGCCGATTAACTCATTTTTATGTCTAATAATTTTAAGTATTTACTGATTAGTGTCAATAGAAGAATGTTTAAACTTAAGGAAAGTCTTGCGCTGGCCGGTTGGCTCAGCAGTTAGAGCATTGGTCTGCAGACCAAAGTCCCAGGTTCTGTTCCCACTAAGGGCACATACCTCGGTTACAGTTTGTCCCTGACCCCGGTTGGGGCTGTGTGGGTGGCAACAAGTCGATGTGTCTCTCTCACATCGACATTTCTCTCTCTCTCTCTTCCCCCCTCTCTCCCTCCTGCTCTATCTGAAGATAAATGCAAAAATGTCCTCGGGTGAAAAAAAAAGAGAAAAGTCTTATAACCCAGCCCGTGTG